CCCCTGAGCCTCCTCTTCTCCAGGCTGAACAGCCCCAGCTCCCTCAGCCTCTCCTCACAGCACTTGTGCTCCAGTCCCTTCCCCAGCCTTGTTGCTCTTCTCTGGACCTGCTCCAGGACCTCAGTATCCTTCCTGAGTCCTGCTTTGAGTGGGAGCTGGGTTAGAGACCTCGAGGGCCATTCCTTTGATCCTCTGGCCTGGTTTAGAGCTTCCCATCTGCTCCCACCCCAGGCACCAGGCTTTCTGATATCCCAAAGTCTGCCAACCCCTCAGGCAGGGACAGACCCCAGGCAATCTGATATCCCAAAATCTGTGACCCCTCAGGCAGGGACAGACCCCAGGCAATCTGATATCCCAAAATCTGTGACCCCTCAGGTAAGGACAGACCCCAGGCATTCTGATATCCCAAAATCTGTGACCCCTCAGGTAAGGACAGATCCCAGGCATTCTGATATCCCAAAATCTGTGACCCCTCAGGTAGGGACAGACCCCAGGCATTCTCATGCCCCAAAGTCTGCCAACCCCTCAGGCAGGGACAGACCCCACGTGTAGCCTGATGCCAGGAGCTGGCTGGAGGTTCTCCCAGCAGGTGAGCCAGCTGGCTGGGAAGAGAAGGCTGCTCCGAGGAGCTGCCTTGTTTTTCACTCTGCCCCCATCTCCCCACGCAGTGAGAAGGCCCTGCAGTCCAACCACTTCGAGCTGAGCATCAAAACAGAGGCCACGCAGGGGCTGATCCTGTGGAGCGGGAAGGGGCTGGAGCGCTCGGACTACATCGCCCTGGCCATCGTGGATGGCTTCGTGCAGATGACCTACGACCTGGGCTCCAAGCCAGTCGTCCTCAGATCCACGGTCCCAGTCAACACCAACCAGTGGATCCACATCAAAGCCTACAGGTGGGGAGGCTGGAGGGAGGGAAAAGTGGGAGCGGGGCGGGCGAGCTGAGTCGCGGCGCCCCGTGATCCCCCGAGGATCGCTCCTGCTCCCGGATAATAATAGAGGAGAGGCATGTGGGCAGTGCCCTGCCGAGGGCAGCGTGTTGGGGCACGCCTGGAAATGTCAGAGGGGCAGGAACGAGGAGGCCTGGGAGGTCTGTGCCTTTTATTTGAGGGTTTGACATTCTGGCCGCGTTGAGCCCGAGCTGCCCCTCGTTATTTTTGGTGGTGGTGGGAGTGGTGAGGAGCACGTGCCCGGCGTGCCAGGGATTGCTGCTGGTGGCTCTGGGGGGAGCTGTGGCCGCTGGCAGGGCTGGTGGTGGGGCTGTGGGAGGCCGTGGGGATGCTGGAGGGGAGCACTGGAGCAAGGACTGCTCCGTGTCACAGCCAGAGGGAGAGGAGGGCTCAGCTCCCCTCGCCTTTGCAGCTGGAGAAGGGCTGATGGTGCCCAGTGCCAGGGTTTGGTGCAAAGCAGGGAACACCTCTGGGTTTGTCCTCTAATCGTCTTCTGTTCCTTCCTCCCTCCCTCTGGGAGCAGGGTACAGAGGGAAGGCTCCCTCCAGGTTGGGAACGAAGCTCCCATCGCTGGTTCTTCTCCACTTGGTGCCACCCAGCTGGACACAGACGGGGCCCTGTGGCTGGGTGAGTTGGTGTGGGCAGGGTGAGCGTCCCCTGTGCCCCTTGCTGAGGGATTCAGAGGTGGAATGGGGTGGGGATGCTCCCTGCCTTGCTTCAACACGACACCTTTGTCTCCCAGGTGACCTAAACATTCCCCTGCTTGTTCTCTGCCTACCAGGGCAGGGTGGTGGTGACACCAAGGTGTGAGGGGTTGGCTTTACCCACCAATGCCAGTCCTTCCCACAGTGTGCCCATTGGCTGGCCTGGAAAAAACAGTGAATTAGAATCACAGAATCACAGAATGGTTTGGGTTGGAAGGGACCTTTAAAGCTCATCTTGTTCCACCCCCTGCCCTGGGCAGGGACACCTTCCACTAGCCCAGGTTCCTCCAAGCCCTGTCCAACCTGGCCTTGGACACCTCCAGGGATGGGGCAGCCACAGCTTCTCTGAGCAACCTGTGCCAGGGCCTGCCCACCCTGACAGGGAAAAATGGACTTAGATTCCATTTACACTTTTTGGAAGCATCTGTTTTTATCTCCCCAGTCTAAGCCTGTAGTTCAGGTCTAACCTGACTCCCAAGGAGTTCATATTCAAAAATGTTGCCTTGCCTGTGAAAAAGAGAGGATCCTGGGGGCCATTTCTCCTTCTGAAATCAGCCTGGAAGTTTATGTGCAAAGCAGAATTAGTCCATGAGAGATTTTTGCTTGGCTTCCCCACTGGCCCCTCCAAAAGTTGTGTTTGCAATCCAGCCCCTCGTAATTCCAATGTATTTCCTGTGTCATGAGCCCAGAGTTGATGCTGCAGTAACTGAACTAAAATTCAGTTTGGATTTGGGAGCAATCCCCCAGGGAAAGGAAACTTTTGAGTTGAAATGTGTATTTTAGAATAAAAATAACTGGAGAATAGAGATACCCATAGAAACGAGTCGCTGGTTGAAGTGTCTTCAGGAAACCTGCAGGCAATGGTTGGAACTGGCACGACTGAGCTAAGTGAAGATAACTGCTGTTTATTTTCATAAAACTAATTAATTTAACTGACTGACGAATTCATATTTACTATTAGCCAGGAAAGAGGTTTCTCCCTGCTCTTGGGAAGACATTCACAGCATGGCTGAGGTTGGAACAGACCTCTGAGGTCGAGTCCAACCTGTGCCCCATCCCCACCTGGGATCCACCCCAGAGCACTGATGCCACATCCAGCTGTCCCTTGAACACCTCCAGGGATGGGCATTCCACCACCACCCTGGGCAGGCCCTTGCAGTGTTTAACAACCCTTTCCCAGGAAGAAATCCCCCCCAGCTCCCTCCTGAGATGTTCCCAGCGGTGCCGGTGGGTGCGTGGGGGTGTGACACTGCTGAGCACAGTCTGGCTGTCCCCTGCCCCGTGCCCTGAGCTCTGTGTGTCTCCTGCAGGGGGGCTGGAGAAGCTGAGTGTGGCTCACAAGCTGCCCAAGGCCTACAGCACCGGCTTCGTTGGCTGCATACGGGATGTCCTTGTGGACCGCCAAGAACTGCACCTGGTGGAGGACGCTTTAAACAACCCCAGGATATTACACTGCTCGGCCAAATAGACCCCCAGAGACCCTCCCTCCTCCTTCCCTCCCTCCTGCCTATTGCTGTAATTATTTTCTATTTTTGTAAACTTATTGCTTTTTATATTTTTGGGGGGGGAGGAGGGAAGGAGGGGGGGAAAAAAGGGAGGGGAGGAGGAGACGCCCTTTTTCTTTCGGGTTATCCGTTCGGTTGCAGCCTATCCAGGTCAGGCAGAACTCGAATCAAACAGCAGCAACAAAGAACAAACCTTGAACCAAGTCTCCAAGAAGTGACAGAAGAACTTGCCCATCACGCTGTAAATCTTCTTCATACTTGAAGCTTCTTTTTTTGGGGGGGTTGTTTTTTCCCCCCCTCCTCACTTGTGTTCTTGGGGTTGTCGTCCGTGCCCGCAGGGGGGAAAAGATGCTGGTGCTGGTGAGACCTGTGGCCTTCATGGATTCACTGCCCGGCCCCAACGTCCCCTCTGCAGTGCTGGCTGAGCAGGGAGGTGGGAATTGCCACCCCTGCTTCGGGGTCTGGCTCTGCCAAGCCTTCCCCTGGCCCTGTGCTCACCCGACCTCCCTCCTCCCCCCCCACTCCTTCCTCTCGCTCTAATTTATGTGTGTAAGAATCTCAAGTGCTTTTCTCCTTCATGCTCTGTTAAAATCAGGGATGCCATGCACTGGAAGAGAGACCAAGGCCTGCTCTGAGCAGGCAGGAAAGCATTGCTCTTTGGTTGTCTTATGACTGTTTGCTGGACTGAGAGGTGCTGGGGGGGAAACGTTGATTTTCTCTGTTGGTTCTCCTCCTCGTCCTCCTCCTCCTCCTCCTCCTCTTGGACATGTGCAGAAGCAGCTGTGAAACCTCATTTCCATGCTTTGTGTTCATCCAGACGTGTCCCAACCACCTGTTTGCCCTTGGCTGCTCTTCCCAAGAGCTTCTGCCCACCAAGCCTTGCCCTCCCGCGCGCCGGGGATAACTTGGAGCTCCTCTCCAAGGGCTGGAAGTGCTCCCCCTTCTTCCAGCCCCACCAAACAGGCTGGGAGGGCACAGGGACTGGGGCCCTCTTCGCTTTTAAAAGACCTGTTGGATGTGTCCTTCCATGACCCACGTCCATTTTCCAGCCTCTGGGGCATGGCTTTGCCCTCGGGCGCTCTGCCAGCCTGGGAATGCAGAGCTGGCACTGGAGCCTCTCCCACAAAGAGAATTCGGAGTTTCCACCTTGGA